CCACAGGAGACCTGCCAGGTGACTCCGGGCAGACTGGCAGACCCCGAGTCTGTTGTTTCAATGTTGATCTTTTGCTCTTGGTTGTTCTTTGAGACAGAGTCTTATATGATGTAGTCCAGGCTGGCCTCACTTTCACTATAACTAACCTTGAACTGGAGAGTAATGAAAGAATAATTACAATTTCCATAACAGAAGTTTTTTAAACTACATTTAAAATTGGTTTGAGGCATTCTCGCGCTTTAATTCTGGTTAATTTTCCTCTTGCTTTTTGAAATCTCCATGTTGTCTCAGTCCTGAATGTGTTTCATCACCTTGGCATGCAGACTCTAGTGCATCAGCACCGCCTTGGGTTTGTTAGGAAAGTCGACAAAGGGCTGTTCTGCAATCTTAGCACCGCTGCCACGTGGCCAGTTTAAGATGCGCTTCATCATTTAAGAACCAAAAAAAGCTTTGTATAACTTCAGATAGCTTAATGTAAAAACGCAGCAGTAGAGGGATGGGTTAGGAGCGATGGGTGGCAATGTTGTCAGACACCTTGTACTCACAACTGTTTGGAAGAATGGGAACTTCTTTGTACAACTACTTAAAGATAATAATAATTTTAAAAATGTTTTTAAAAACCTCACAGTTAGCTTCTGGTAGCATTCATTTAATGCCAGCACAGTTAGAGCTCTAGGCATGGAACCTAATATGTGCATAGAATGTAGAGTGCTTCTTTCCTGACACCCTAAACAGTAAGCAGTAACACTGGAGTGAGAAACAACTACCTCTTTCTCAGGGTTAACTTAGGGTGACTCAGTGCCTCTTACAGATCCAAAGGCCGGCAGGCCTTGCCTTGTGATTGGCACAATCAAGCACCAGCTCATAAAATACTCAGCGGGGGAGGGGGAGCACTTACATGCACTGCAATGTACCTAACCACATGACTTTCTGAACCGACCAATGCCTGCCTCCCTATTATGTACAATTAATATCAGCATCTTACAGATATTAGAGAGACAGTATGATTCTTGGTTTTCTTTTCTATTGTAGCATTAAACTAACTTGAACTTTAGGTTACTAACAGTTTTTCAAAAACAGCAGCCTTTTGACTTCCCAGAGAGTTGAAGGAAGTTGAACATAGAAGCCTTTCTCTGTTTTTGTTGTTGCAGTGTTTTCCTGTTGAGGGCCAAGGACAGGTTAATACCACTGTCTGTCTGTCTATCTATCTAACCTAACTAACTTGTGGTACAAACCCAGGACCTTAGACATTCTAGGAGAACATTCTGCCTTATGCCTTGGCCTCTACTCTTTTCATTTTTGTTTTTGAGACAAAATCTTCCTACCTTTTTTTTTTTTCCACAGCTGGTGTCAAGCCCAAGGTTCTCCTGTCCCCACTGTTCCAGTAGCTTTAATTACAGCTAGACATCACTGCTGGGCGTTGAGCTAATGACTAGGCCTTTTTGTTCTGCCTCATTAATACTGTTGCACTCTCTGCCTCACAGGGAGCCATAGAAAAGGTGAAGGAAAGTGACAAGCTAGTTGCAACGAGCAAAATCACTCCACAGGACAAACAGACTATGGTGAAGCGAGTGGGCACCATGTCTTACGCTTTGCAAGGTAAGAAGCAGGGCTAAGAATAGCCAGTGGAGACCTTCCTGCTGGAGAGAAACCCAGTGTGAGCAACGATCCAATTAGAACCGGTTTAAAGGCTGTCATGAGCCCCTCCCTGCAGGAGGAAATCTACAGTGTGATTGCTCACACTTACTGGGTAGAGCTCGGTGAATGACAGCTTGTTAAATCGGTACATTTAATACTTTTTATAGACACACTGAAAACTGCTTTTATAGCCCTTAATATTGTGCTATATTTAATCCCAGAGCCCAGCTTTTAGCAATATAACTTGCAAAATCAGGACTGTGGAGTAAAGAGAATTTATAGGAATCGTTTTAGACATAGTTTGACTGTTGGCGAAAGAAAGGCATTCGTTAACATTTGGAGTGGAGTGCTTGTGGAGAGGAGCAGCGAGTGGCCGCCCCATGTTTTCGCGATGCGTGGCCGGCACATGCCTGGGCAGGGCCAAGGATGTCCATAGTACCTAATGAGCACGTCAGTGAAAGCCATCTGCCACCACTGCCTGGTCACCCACTCCTCTAGCCGCAGTCCATCGATGTGCCAAGAACTGGCCCTGGGCCACTGTCAGCCGGATTAGGTCCTCTTGATGGCAAAGTCTCACCAAGCGGAGAAGCCAGCTGTTGCCATTTGAAATCTTGAGGGAAACTAATGGCTTCGTTGCTTTCGTTTTAGCTGAGATGAATCACTTCCACAGTAACCGGATCTATGACTACAACAGTGTCATCCGCCTCTACCTGGAGCAGCAAGTACAGTTCTATGAAACGGTAAGAGGCGCCTCCCCCTCGTCTCCCCTCTCCCCACCTCCCACACATTTCCAAGCACAGGAAGGTTGGTACTCAGCAACTGACTAGTCAAGTCAGTATCTCGTAATGATCTTTAATCTTTAAGAAATAAGCCAGAGGCGACTAAGTTTTGAGCAGGCTTGGGTTTCTGCCTGTGGGGTATTGCTGAGTCTAAAGGGCTTTTTCTGAGGAAGAAGCAATAGATGTTGTTCTGAAGCCCCAAGAAATCCTGTGTGATTCCCCCTCTCTCAGCACAGGGACAGTGAGTGAGGTAACGTCCCTCGCCTTCCCCTCCACCCCCCCCCCCAACCACCCCACCAGGTAAACTTAGGCACCGGGCAAAGCGCCCACTGCATGGACCACACACAGAGAGACACAATTTCATACCAAGCATCCCACCCCCCTCCTTCGCATCCCCCCCCCCCCCCCCCCCCCCCCCCCCCCCCCCCCCCCCCCCCCAACCACCTCTCCCTCTTCCACACCAGCTTCTCCTCTGGCTGGGGAGGAAACCAGAGGCAGTTACCAAACAAGTCTCCATGTTCTCTCTAAAAGAGAGAAAGAAATCTTAAGTTCTTTATTTAGAAAACTTGAAACCTGCCGGGCGCTGGTGGCTCACGCCGTAATCCTAGCTACTCAGGAGGCTGAGATCTGAGGATCGCGGTTCAAAGCCAGCCCGGGCAGGAAGGCCGTTGGGCTCCTATCTCCAATAAACCACCAGAAAACCGGAAGTGGCTTGTAGCTCAAGTGGTAGAGCGCTCGCCTTGAGCTGAAGAGCTGAGGGACAGCGCCCAGGCCCAGAGTTCAAGCCCCACGACCGACAGAAAAAAAAAAAAAAACTTGAAACCTCATTCCTCTGTGTCATGATGTTTTTGGCTTAGCAGAGTATATGTAAAACAGATCTTGTATGTGTGCGTGGAGCTGAGCTGTGAGGATGGGGCTGGGGCTGTGTGTTCAGCTCACAGCCCTGCCCGTGAGGGTCCCTGCGGAGCTGCTGGAAGGAGCCAGGGCGTGCTTGGTGCAGGGGGGAGCGGGAGGTGGGAGCGGGAGCAGCAGCAGCGCAGTGGCTTCACGCAGCAGCGCGGTGGCTTCACGCCTCACAGCCTCACGGCTGGTGCCAGTGGTCTCTGCGTGTCCTCAGAGTGCATTTGTGTCTGAGAAAATACTGGAAGGGCACCTCGTGAAGTTCTGATGTTGCTTTGTAAGTAATTTTTAAGTTTTAGCAAGGTTTGTTGTCGAAGTAGGGAAAGTAGGAGAAAAAAAAAAGCACTGCAGCATTTCCTAGTCCTCTGGCAAATGGGCATTAAAGACTCCCGTTAAGTAGTTTTTTGTTTTTTTTTAATTTATGACTTTGGAATTCAAACTAAAAAGCTATTCATTACTGTCTCTGCATAAAAGTGAACAAGTAATAGAGCTCGCCAGACCTCAGATCTAACTCAATGACTGGCGTGTGACATGTCTGCTCAGGGAGCAAACGTGTATTGAGTTCTACCATGTACTTCAGCTGCTTAGGACCCGGGGATAACAGACCTCCCGGCCTCTTAGGCATGGCCGGCGTCTGTGAGACACTGCAGCACCGCCTGCTCTCACTGCAGTGCACACACCATGCGGTCACTGGTCGCTGCAGTCCTTTAGGGAGGCTCGGCCTTCATACTTATCAGAGAAAGAAAGGGACAGAGGCCAGCACAGGGGCCTGAGCCACTGCACTCTGCAGGGAGCAGTGCCGGCCATGGGCTAGTTGGGAACAGAGAGGAAGGCTCCTCCCTGGACAGCGGTACCCACGGTTGGCCCGCTGTGGAGAAGGAGGGCTCCCTACCAACTCCCCACCGAAGCACAGACCAGGTGGGTGTGAGGAGCAACAGGAAGCATGGACTGGCTGCAGGGCCTGACACACGCGAAATGTGAGTGGTGGGAGGTGCTGGAGTCACGCGGAATCGTGTCTCCATGTGGCTTTACTCTCTCGCCAGATCGCAGAGAAGCTGAGGCAGGCCCTCAGCCGCTTCCCCGTCATGTAGAGCAGAGCAGACACGAAGAAACGCCGAAGTGCTTCTTTCTGACTTGGGACAATGTCACTCAGTCATCTTGTTTTCCTCCCTCTCATGAAGAAAACCTGAAAGAAACAAACAGAAAGAAAACCAAAAACAAAAGAGGGTTTTCACAAATGTTTTTTGTTGTTAGTGAATTACGTCCACTGCGGAGGGATGGTCATCTTGTTATTTAAACCAATGGAAATTGTCTCTATTTTTGGAAGGACTTAAATTTTTAGGATTTTGAATGGAGAATTAGGGGATGCCCTCCACCAATATTTTACATAGAATCGAAGCTTATGTTACGGTGATCTTATAGTTGTTACCCAATGTCAGATAATTAATTACTAATGGCTTTCTTAAAATTATAAACTATGCCAGAATAAAAATATATATGTTTGTATATTTTTATAACTTTCGGTCCTTTGGGTTCCTGGCTGCTCAGGACAGTCCACACCCTCCCACGACACACTGTCACCAAGTGCTCCTATCTCAGGAGGGGGGAGCACAGGGCCCCACGCCTGCGGGGTGCTGTGCCGCGCTGCTCTTCCATGCAGTCAGCATTGTCTTCCGGGTGAGGCTGATTCATACTAAAGACAGTAAGTTAGAAACTTTTTGAGAGCTTCCCTGGCTTTGCCCTCCGGTGGATGGCCATCCTGCCTCCTGTGCCCAGGAGCTGGAGAAGGAACAGCTTCTTAGAGCTTCCAGCCTCCCGGGCCTGATCTCCAGTTGCCCATCAGCCAGGAGGAGGCATGCTGCTGATAACCTGGAGGTATAGAGCAGCAGGTGAAAGCCAGATGAAACCCCCCATACGCAGACCGAGTGAGAACATTCAGAACTACTGCATTGAGGAGTGCCTGCACAACCTGCAGTGCCGTAAAGAGCAAAGTGATACTTGTCTCGACTGTCCTGACTTTAAGATAGGATTTTCCGATTCGGTACACCCGCTAATGGCACAGAGCACGCTGTAGGCTTGAAATCGGCCCATCACTGCCTCCTCCTGCAGGCCAGCCCGCCTTCCACCACTGCCTTATGACCTGACCTAATGATTATATTCTAGAGAATGCAAAGTCTGGGCCCACATAAGCAAATGAAACCAAAAAATAGGTAGAGGAGGAACTCAGTGAACACGAATAGGAGAACTTCTTGTTCTTCAGTATCACGGGTTTTGTTCATGTTTTATAAGTAGATTTCCCCACTTGATCTTTCTTTTATAAAATCCCATAGAACAATGTTTATGATACAGTCATTTAATATATGTACAAATTGTAAAGAATATGTATATTTTACACGAATGTAAAAGCATGTAGAAGCCAACATATAAATAAATTGTTTAAAAAAAACTGTACAGTAAATTCTCAAAACACTCTGGTGTTTCTTTGCCTGTTGTTATTGTTGTTGTTTCTTGTTCTAGCTGCCCAAAATGGTCCCTCAGCATTTCTGCTGACATGAATCAGTGATTTAGTTGCATAGATTTTTTTTTTTTTTTGGACAGTTGTGGGGCTTGAACTCTGGGCCTGGGTGCCTCCCCAGTCCTGGAAGCTGGTCGCAATCACCTGGGACACTGGAAGAGACCCATGCTGCCCTGGGCTGCCTCACACATGTACTGACTTAACTGGCAGGAGGAAGGTCCGGGAACACGGGAAAGGAGATGGCACGGGACCTTCGAACAGTGGTAGCTTATGTGAGCTAGAAAAAGTGAAAGAACTCAAAACCAAAAGCAAAGAGAAGCCATGAGCTACTTGGAAGATTCTCTTTTGGGTGGCAAAATTTCAGTGACAGGGTATATATTTCTTTCTTTTTTTTTCGGTTGGTCGTGGAGCTTGAACCCTGGGCTTGGGCTGTCCCTGCACTCTTCAGCTCAAGGCGAGCTCTCTACTACTTGAGCCACAGCGCCACTTCATTTTCTAGTGGTTAATTGGACATAAGAGTCTCACGGATATTTCTGCCTGGGTTGGCTTTGAACTGTGATCCTCAGATCTCAGCCTCCTGAGCAGCTAGGATGACAGGGTGTGAGCCACCAGCACCCAGCAGTGTTTATTTCTTTCCCAAAGCTGGTTCTCAATGTGTTGAGGTTTGATTTTTAATCACTTGCAGGAAGTAGATTTCACAAGATCACAGTTCTGCATGAACTTCACAAAGGCAGTATGTGTTTAGAGAGAGGAAAGGCGTGGTGGAAGAGTCCACTTGTTGAGCAGATGACACCAGTTGCCTGGCCCGCCCCCCCAGAGCAGCAGTCCCCCAGTGTGAGCCCACTACCTGGTTATCATGCCCCACACACCTTGGCTGAAACAAGGCTGGCCTTGCTGTCACACAGAGAAGAGAATGTGGTCCACTTTGCTTGCGGTCACTGGTCCCCCAAGGTCACTTGGCACTGCAGACAGAGGCCTCCTCTCCTCCCTGTGGGAGCAGAGAGAGCAGCAGGTGCTGCAAGACTCGTGCTTGACAGGAACGGGCCCTGGGTCCCGACCTCCCCGCACCGGCCGAGGCTCCTTGTCCTGGTGGAAGGAAACATGCTGGCTCAGGCCGCTGTCACCCTGACCACATGCCACTCCGCATGCCCACATCTTCCGAGGAGGGATTGGGAGTCCAAAAATGCTGCCGGGTATTACTGAAAGTAGTAAAACATTGAAAACTTAGAAGCCACTAGGACACAAACATCATCCAAGGTGAATAAGCAAAGGATGCGTCCCATCCGTCCCACCAAGTGAAGTGTGCAAGGGCCCCGAGCCACAGGTTGGGAGGGGAGTGGGGAGTAACTGCATAATGGGCCCTGTTTTCAGTTTGGGATCATGGGTTTGTTGTGAAGCCTTATGGAGGGAAGGGAGCAGCCTTTTAGCGTGAAGTAATTTTGTCTCCTACTAAGGTGACACTGTTCTAAGGATCTTGTCAGATGCCCTATATTCGTGCTTCTGCACTCTGGCTGAAACTGTCCTATATCCAGCCCAGTGGGAGTTCTGGTAGCATTCTGGGAGCAGGTGACCCGCCTACTGGTTTTCAGGCACCGTATCTCTGGCTCACATCATTTGCTCACATAACTGCTCAGAGCTCCTAGGGGATCGCCTGCTCTTCTGTGCACTGCTGGGCCAAAGTCTGCCAGCAGAGTTTTCAAGAGCAGAATGAGTACCTCTCCAGAAGAGACCCCCACAGCTTGTCTGCTCTGGGCCATGTGAGGGCATCTATAAGGAGGAACCCTCACCACACACAGCCTTGATCTTGACTTGCCATCCTCCAGACCTGAGAAATGAGTTTTTGTTGCATGTAAGCTATCTGCTTCAGGACATTTTGTTACAACAGCATGGATAAACGAAGCTCTCTCCCATCTCCTTCCTCTCCCTTCTTTATCTCTGCACTTTAATTTCAAGCCACATTGAACTCCCCAACTCTGTCCTCAGCTAGTAAGGCCACCGGGCCCTCTGCTCGAGGCCTCTCTGTAGTAGGCCCTGAAACTGCATTCAGAAGGGATCTGTAGCCATCCTGGGGCTGAGCTGTGTTTCTCTCCTCTGTGATTCAAGTCCTGCACAGCCTCTGGCAATACAGCATCCAAGCTGGCAGCGGACAATCTAAGGTGGGAGTGATTTTCTCATTCACAGAAAACATGGTTTTATTTTCCAGCATGCACCATCCTCCCTAAGGCAGACATTGTAACATGTATCTTTTGATTCCCTTCTTCCTCGGGCCCACTGTGCATCTTACTTCCTGGTCAGTGATCCTGTATGTGACTTGCGTTGGTCAAAGAAATGCAGTTTGGAGTGTATAATTGCCAGCATTCTCTCTCCACCTCTTCTCTTCACATACAGTAAATGTTGACAAAAAGAGCTGAGGACCATCAGGAAGAAATTATGCCATTTGCAAGGAAAAGGAAAAAAAAATAATGAAGGAAACCAGGCCCACCAAGACAAAGGGCACGGGTTCTCTCTCCTGTATGGATAAATACCTCCTTCCTGATAAACTGCGCTGGCTAATATAGTACAAGCAGAAGTGGAACTCAATGCTTTAAGCCCTTTGAACTATTAACAGTTGAATAATGGGAAGCTGTAACAAGTTTTTAGCGGGGAGAAAGTGGAGTGGAGGTGGATGAATAGAAAAGGAATGGTGGACAAATACAGTCATAATACTCAGTACAGTCATAATACTCAATTAACTAGTAAAAAGCTGAAAGTGGAGCCATGGGGTTAGAGTGCTAAGCCCTGAGCACAAAAGCTTAGGGACCCACCAGCTGCACTGGACATGGATGAAAATGAACTGGGCAACTCGGGCAGCAGTGGGAGGGAGGGGATGAGAGGGAAAGGAACAGTTTACACGAAGCAAAAGGAAAGAAGTGTGCATATCACCCAACTTGCAAGAAATGGTTGTCAAAGCTTACAGAATTCACAAACTTTATAGACCATGATAATGTCAATTTGCCTTGTGAAGGTTAGAATGTGTTTGTGACTTTATCACTATCCTACAATACTGTGAAATTTGTAAAATGTATATAATCACTTAATCTCAAAAAAAATTTAAAAAGCCCAGGCCCTGAGTTCAAGCCCCAGGACTGGCACAAAAAAAATGTCTAAAGAAGGCTGGACCATATAGAAGAAATGATTCCTTGCATGAGTAACAAATAAGCTGCTCTCTGAGTCTGGAGGTTTGGTTTGTTTCACGGTAGAGTTGTTCCACCAGTCCTGACTGGTGTGCCCCCTTTACTGAGCCACAGTATGCATACCCCAGAGACACGTGTCTCCACCTGTTGGCTGAAAGAAACGGGAACATTTGAAAATATTCCATATGGAAAACTATCAGTCCACACTAGCATGAGCAAGAGGCACAACAAACGTTTACTGAAGCAAAGAAACAATTCATCTTCATGAGACTGAATTCTCAATGATGAGTTTCAATCCCTTCCGGCTGGCTGAGCGACTGGCCGTAACTCAGCAGTTATTCTGCCATTGTCACACAGCCACATCCAGAAAGCCTGGTGCCACAAAACAAGCATATGGCCCAGAGGAAATGGAGCTGGCAAATTGCACTTTGTCACTGAGGAATCTATCTGCTCTAGATCCTTTTCTTCTGCATGAAGTTAGCTCTGACTTTCCTAAGGGGAGGCTGGGAAGAGGGTGGGGCGCGGGGGTGGGGCACAGGTTTATTTGAAGGTAAGGCTTTCCAGCCGTTGTCAAGGCACTTTTGGTAGCAGCAGCTTCTTATAACTTCTAGACCGGGAATTTTTTTTTTTGGGGGGGGGTTGGTCATGGGACTTTCTTGGGGCCTGGGCACTGTCTCTGAGCTCTTGTACAAGGCTAGTGCTGTACCACTTTGAGCCACAGTGTCAATTCCAGGTTTGGTTTTTTGTTTTGTTTGGGGTTTTTTGGTTTTTTGAGTAATTGGACATAAGAGTCTCATGGGGGGGGGCGGGGCTGGGGG